GCATTCTTTTCCCAGAAGGGCAAATCACTTTTGGGAGAAGACAAAGCCAGAATTTAGGAGGAAGGGACCAAAGGCAAGCCTTTGAAGTGACAGAGAAAATTTGCCCAAAGTTCTCTAGGTTAAAATAAATCCCATTATTGGGCTTCCCTGGTGGCGCAGTGGTTGAGAGTCCGCCTGCCGATGCAGGGGACGCGGGTTCGTGTCCCGGTCCGGGGAGATCCCACATGCCGCGGAGCGGCTGGGCCCGTGAGCCATGGCCGCTGAGCCTGCGCGTCCAGAGCCTGTGCTCCGCGACGGGAGAGGCCACAACAGTGAGAGGCCCGCGTACCCCGCAAAATAAATAAATAAATAAATAAATAAATCCCATTATCATTGGCTCTTTTCAGCTCCTCTCATGTATTCTCTCTCATCACTTTTCTTTCATGAAGTTTTAAGTAGGCTGTTCAAGCTATCGACCATCTCACAGCATTTAATTCTAAGACCTGCCTTCATAGTTCGGGGAATAATGAAGGGCTTTCAAGATGCCCCCAAATATAGTGTATGTAATGGGGAGGATGTGCATCTATATCACAGCTTACAGAATCATCAGTAAGGTTACTTGCCACAAAGGCTTTGAAGCCATTTCTTCTTAGTGAGTCTGCAGATACTTGGCAACATGTGAAAGTCTTCGAATAGATTTGTATACAGTAGAAGTTATTTTCAGAACATGAATATTGGCTGCTCTGAGGAATGTGTATAATATGTGGCTCACACAGCAAGAACTTGTTTGTTAGTGGGTGTTGGGCTGTCTGTCAGTGAGACTCTGCCCAAGAGCAGGGGATCATCTAGGAAATGCAGACAGACAGTCGCCACTTGAAGTAGGATTTGTTCCCTCTGCTCAGTGTATGATGTTAATGGCTTTAAGAGGTTTGGGACAGGATTTATGGAGCCAGCTCCAGGTTGGTCCTCCCACTTGGAACTCAGTTGGCATCCCCATCCGATACTATTACTTGTAAGTATATTTGTACGTATGTACATGCGAATATATATGTGTGATGTGAATGTAGTTCTGTATCAGCCTCATGACACTTATATAGAGAGACTTGATTTGCATAGTAGATATAATAAGGTTGATGCTATTTCACAATTTTTTGTATCAGGAAAAAAATCCATGACCTCTGGTCATTGGATCCTGTTTATTTCAAGTAACATTCCCCACTTTTGGAGCAGTGGAAATGTTAAGTTCGTGTCTTCTGATGGTATTATATAATACCTTTGTTCACAGGGGCAGAGATCAGGAACATAGGAAAAAGAAAATGGGTTTGGGGGCCAAAGAGACAGGGATTAAATTCCAACTCCATCAGTATATAGTCATGACGTTAGGCAAGTGATTTAATCGCTCTGAAACTATAGTTCCTTATTTGTAAAATTAGAACAACGGTATTTTTCTCACTTAGTATATAGTATCAAACAAAGTGCTTTTTGTAAAGTGGGTACCTGAATGTTTGACAGATAGCAGAAACTCAGAAATTTTTCGTTCTCTTTACATTATTAAGGTAACCCAGAACAATGAAATTTCCCCCTGATAACATGCACATTTATATGGACTCATGCTCACATGCACTATAGTAATAGGCTTCCATATAAATTCATTCTAGTTGTTTTTTCTAAAAACACTTAGGTCTTCTATGGAGCAAATAAAGTATACCATTCAAAAAGTGTGTTTAAAACTGGATTAATCATAGTTATCAAAAAAAGAGGTTAAGTAGAAAAGCCACAATCCATGTAAATTACATGGAAATTCACTACATTTAAAGTGGGATATTTTAATTATGTTTCTGTATGTGTGCCTGTGTATGAAATTGAACAGAACATTTTCAATATTCTTGCATTTAGTCAATACAGTCAGCTCTGCATATCTGTGGATTCCACATCTGCGGATTCAACCAACCACAGATTGAAAATATTTATGGGCAAAAAATTCTAGAAAGTTCCAAAAAGCAAAACTTGACTTTCCTCAAACTTGAATAGTTCCCAGGCAGCTATTCACATAGCATTATTACCTTGTATTTTAAGTAATGTAGATGATTTAATGTATACAGAGGATGTGCGTAGGTTATACGCAAACACTGTGCCATTGTATATAATGGACTTGAGCATCCTTGGATTATGGTATACTTGGGGAGTCCTAGAACAAATCTCCTATGGATACTGAGGGACAACCATATTATTTTAATTCACTCACATCTACCATTTTCATTGTTCTTCATTCCTCCCTGCATCTGTAAACTTCCATCTAGATTCATTTTTCCTCTACCTGAAGAACTCTTAATATTTTCTTTAATGCAGATCTGTTGATGGTGAATTCTGTCATTTATTATGTATCTGAAAAAATGTCTTCATTTTGCCTTATTCTTGAAGGATCTTTTTGCTCAGTGTAGAAGTCTTGGTTGGCAGTTCTTCAATACTTTAAAGATATTCCATTGTCTTCTAGCTTCTATTATTTTTATTGAGAAGTCAACTATAAATCTAACTCTTGCTTATTTGGAGGTAATGTATATTTTGTTCTGGGGGCTTTTAAGATTTTCTTTTCCTGACTTTGATTTACAGCAGTTAAACTATGACCTGCTGAGGTGAGAATTTCCTTTTATTTTTCCTGCTTGGGGTTTAGACCTTCTTGAATCTGTGGTTTATTGTCTCTTATCAGTATCAGAAAATTGTTAGCCATTATCTTCTCTCTGTCCTCCTTGTAGGATTCCAATTATGTGTCTGTTAGGTCTTCTCAATGAGTCTTCTATGTCTCATACCCTTTCCTCTGTATTAGCCATCCTTTTGTCTTTGTGTTTTATTCTGTATAGTTTCTTCTACATCTCTATAATTAAAAAATCCAGTTCACTAATTCTCTCTTAAACCATGTTTATTCTGTGGTAAAATCCATTGCATTCTTGATTTTAGTGGCTGTATTTTTTTTCATTCTAGAATTTCCATGGATCTTTTAAAAAAAAATAGATTCTAGTTCTCTATCAGAATCCTCAACTTTCATCTCCTTAAATATTGTAAACAGAGTCATTTTAAAGTCTGCATCTGGTGACTCTATATTAGAAGCCCCTGTGGGTCTGTTTATAGTATCTGTTGTTTCTGCTGGTTTTTATTCATCTCATCTGCTCATGGACCTCCTCCCCCTTTTTTAATTGAACGTGTTTTATTTGAAAAATTGTGGAAATAATTCAAGACCTTAATTTAATTTTAGGGATGAATGAGATGATTAAAATCTGAGCTTCAGACATTGAGAGGAACTGTCTGCTTCTGCTTCACCTCATTTCTAGAACTCAGTGCTTTGAGGGAGCACCGTCCTGTGGCTTACCCAGAATTCCATTCCCTGCCCGCTGAAACCCACCTCCCATGCCCTTGAGATTACCCAAAGCCCACTTTAACTGCCCCACTTTGGAATGTACAGATATCCTTAGGGGGAAATAGCACCAAACACCAGGTTCAAATGTCTGGCCAACACCCTTTCCTGATCCTGACCCAGTGACTTTTTTACTGGCATATTTTGTGTCTACTGCCATAAGAAGAACATACTTCTTTTACATTCTGTCCAGAGTTTTTCTTGTTTAGAGTATTTAGTTGTCCTCATCAAGAAGGTTGGTCCAAATTAACTGGTCCACTACATCTACAAAAGCCATTGAAAACTGACTGTTTAAAACCCTTCATTCTTCTCTTTTTCTTTTTTATATAGCCTAAAGTTGAAGAAATTAAATTTCTATGAAAATTAAACTGTTCAAACCTCAAGTGCATTTCAACTTGATTTAATGGCAGTAGTAATACTTGCACTGGAAGTGTGCAAATCCCTACACAGACCACCTCCTTGCCTTTGTTCACAAAACCCTACTTCCAGGAATGTCTTCTTCTTGCAGTCATTCCTCTGTCTTCCGGTCCCATTGTTTTTTAAAACTCAGGACAGTGTATCCTCATCCCCAAAGACTTCGTTACTCACCTCTTCCATGCCTTTCCTCTGCCCTCCAACAGCTTAATCCCGTGCAGAGTATTAGAGCCCCACTCTGTGACCACACTCGCCACATTGATTGGCAGGTATTGTTCATGTGCCTCTTTTGCCCACTGGACTGTGAACTCCTTTGTGACCAAGACTGTTGTTTTCAATTTATTGAAATTCATCACAGTGAATGGCACATAGTAGCCTAGAGAAAACGGTAGGTATTGAGAGGATACTGGGCTTCCCCTGCTTTTGATATTTGTTTTTCAAACAAAAGAGAGACTGATTTGAGTACCTGGGGCTTGCCCATGTAGATGGGCCAAGCCCTTGAGCTGTCTGTATTCATTTCACCCTCAAACCCCTCCAAATCCTGCCCATCCTTGGGGTCCTGGGAAAGCCCTCCCTGCTTTCTCCAGCCCTCACTGATTCTGCTCCCCCTAAATTCCTAGAGTACGCATTCATTTATCCAGTAAATATTAAGTTTCAACCATGTGCCAGGTACTCTCTTAGGGGCCAGGGACACAGTGATGAGCACATAAGTGCCTGCCTTATGGGGCTTAAATACAGTCTACCTCGGATCCGCATTCAGCCCTGTTATACACGAGAATAACATCTGTCCAGTGAGCTAATGAGACACAAGAATATACCTTGGGCTCGAGTCACGTGCAGCGCCTAGCCCAGTGCCGAACACTAAGTAGGTGTTCCGTCATCTTTGGGGCTCCACTGACTTGTTTTAATGGAGACCAGGTGCAAAGCTGATACACAGTAAAACAATATTTTGAATACTGAATGGACTTCCACCAGCTTCTACCCAACATCGATATATGGTAAGTACAGGTACAGCAGAAAGTTAAGAACCTCATTTGCATCTGTTGGTGGAGGAGGTTTGGGGAACTGAGTCTTATATTTTTCCATTCACCTATGCGTATGTATGTCTGTGTACGTGTAATGTATACAATAAAACAAGAGTAAAATGCCTTCATTTCTTCCTTCCCTTCCCTCTCCCTGTCTCTCACTGTTCCCACAGGTCAGCGTGGAAGTTTTGGTAGAGTATCCTTTTTTTGTGTTTGGACAGGGCTGGTCATCCTGTTGCCCGGAGAGAACCAGCCAGCTCTTTGATTTGCCGTGTTCTAAACTCTCCGTTGGGGATGTCTGTATCTCGCTCACCCTCAAGAACCTGAAGAATGGCTCTGTTAAAAAGGGCCAGGCCGTGGATCCCGCCAGTGTCCTGCTGAGCTATTAAAATTAGCTAAAAAGCATCTCCTTCAAGAAACAGTTCCTCGTCTCCTTCTACCCTCAGACCATATAATAATAATCCCTCCTTCCTTGAGGTCTTCTCAGCATCTGGTTTTCTCTCTATTAGGAGAAGCACTCAAAGACCGACGGCCTCGCGGGCAGTAGACACAGGTACGCCGAGCAGGAAAACGGGATCAATCAGGGAAGTGCCCAGATGCTCTCTGAGAATGGCGAACTGAAGTTTCCAGAAAAAATTGGATTGCCTGCCGTGCCCTTGCTCACCAAAATAGAACCCAGCAAGCCCGCGGCCACGAGGAAGAGGAGGTGGTCGGCGCCGGAGAGCCGCAAACTGGAGAAGTCGGAAGACGAGCCACCTTTGACTCTTCCTAAGCCTTCTCTCATTTCTCAGGAGGTTAAGATTTGCATTGAAGGCCGCTCTAATGTAGGCAAGTAGAGGCCGTGTGGGGAAAGGAAATCTGGCCCTCCTTTATCATTTGTATCCAGATTACTGTACTGTAGGCTAAATAACACAGTATTTACATGTTATCCTCTTACTTTAGGGTTCTGTTATAACCTTGTCCTTAGAGTTACAGCAGCGGTTGGGCAGGAGATGGTGCATATGCTTTTTCCATGCGTGTCTCTCAGTGGGGTGGGCAGGCAGGGGCTGGGGCAGGTCCAGCCCGGGCTCTGGGCGGGCGTCCTGGTGGAAATGAACGTGGCCCCATGGTGCCTGCCTTTTCTAGCAGTGCAGATGCACCCATGGGGTGCCGACTTCTCCTGGTTTGGGGACAACGGGCTGCAGGGGGTGCGTGCGTGCGTGCAAGTGAGGGTGCCCGGCTGCCACGGCAGGTGAGGGTCTCTTTCTCTCTGCCTCCCTCTCTCTCGCTCTCAGCACGGGATTGGAGGTCCAGGGGAATGTCCTCATGAGGTTCTCACGTGCAGAATCAGCATCAGGACCCCAGGTCCAGGGCATCCCAGAGAGGCCGTCAGACGGCAGGTGGAAACTAACCGTGTAAAGAGAACATTTTTTTCCCTCCAACATATTTTACAATAAAAGCGACTTTTAATCATAGAGATATATATTCCCCCCATGGGGCCTGACTGCACTGATATTTTTTTAAAGAGCAACTGCCACCCGCGGGATTTTGTTTCTGCTTTACTAGTGCAGTGATGTCTCCAGGGCATCGTGGTGGGCAGGGCAAGCCCCTGCTGCCATCGCTCCGCACCCGGGGGGGGGGGGGGTTGTGGGCAGCAGGGGTGGCGGAGAGTGAAACCTACCCTGGTCTCTGTGCAGTGTTTGGAAAAACCAATCAGGTTAATCGCATTGACTTCACTCCCAAGACATAGACACAAACTGCCCTTCAAGAGAGCCGCGGAAGCTCTTTGCATTGGGTTTGCAAATCTTCTGTCTTTTAACTCTAGTACTGTTTATAGTTCATGACTATGGACAACTCGGGTGCCACTTTTTTCAGATTCCAGTGTGACGTGAGGAATTAGATTTTGAAGATGAGCATATATATTACTATCTCTAAGCACTTAAAATGCTGTTCTCACTTTATTACCAAGCATCTTGGTCTCTCATTCAACAAGTACTGTATCTCACTTTAAATTCTTTGGGAAGAAAAACTAAGTTGCTTTCTTTTTTTTCAACACTGTAACTACATTTCAGCTCTGCAGAGTTTCTCACGGAGCAAGATGTTGAAAGTTTCAATGTGGTTTAATGGGATGAATGTGAATTTTGAACTAGTACGTGACAATGAATGACCACCAAGTACGGCCTGACAGGAGGCACTCCTCACTTTGATGTGTGAGAAGGAATTAAAAGCGTATGCAGAGCTGGCAGAGGAACTGAGAGGAGAGGGATGGAGAAAAGAATACTCACTTTTGTCCAGTGTTTTTCTTTTTAAGACGAACTTTTAAAGAACCTTGCGATTTGCACATCTTGAGTTTATAATTTGTGTGATATTCCTGCAGTTTTTATCCAATAACATTGTGGGAAAGGTTTGGGGGACTGAACGAGCATAAATAAATGTAGCAAAATTACTTTCTAACCTGCCTAAACTCTAGGCCATTTTATAAGGTTATGTTCCTTTCAGAATTCATTTTGGTCTTCTTACCGCATCTGTCACATAAAACCAGGTCTTAGCAGGACAACTCTGAGAATTTTCTTCAGATTCATTGAGTTTTCCATAAAGACATTTATGTATGTGAGCAAGTTTTTTTTTTTTTTTAAAAAAGAAAACGATTACTTTGTTGTTGTTGTTACTGATGTTATTTTCAGAATGACTTTTATTTTTCCATCTGAAATCAAATCAAGATTTAATGTTTGGTACAAACCCAGAAAGGGTATTTCACAGTTGAAACCTTTTATTCCCAGAGATCTGAAATATTGTTTGTGGGTTCTAAGTGTGCATTTTAAAGTGCTTTAAAAAAAAAAATGTTTTATAAGGAGGGAGGAATTTTTAAATATTCTTACTTGGAATGGCTGCAACTTATCTGAACAAATACCTGATTTTTCTTTTACCATTGAGAATAGTACTTTTTCCATTTCACCAATTAAAAAAAAAAAATTTCTAATGTCAACCCACATTTTGGCTATCTAGTATTTACATTTAGCTCTCAGCAGAACTAATGATTTTTACAAACCATTTTCTGGGGTGTACCAAAAACATTGGAATAGGTTTAGAATAGCTAGATCCAGTCCTTGACTTTCTTTGATTTTCATTACCCTCTCAGCATGCTGGCAGAGAGCTGGGTGAGTCCATTCTTGCAGTCATATTGCTTATTTAGTGCTGTATTTTTTTAAATGTCTCTGTTCAGAGAACTTGCTTAATCTTCCATATATTCTGCTCAGGGCACTTGCAATTATTAGGCTTTGTTTTTCTTTTTGTTTTGATGGTAAGAGGAATATGGGGCTGCCATTATAGACTTTGTCCTCATCAGTACCACTAATTACAGCAACTCATGTGGACTCAGAGAAACACCCGCCACCTTCTGGCTTCTTTCGAGTATCGAACTAACTGGATCCACACCTCCAACACTAAAATGGGAAAACATAACATGGTTTGGAGCAATAGGAACATCATCATCGTTTTTGTGCTTCTATTTCAGGTACAGGAATTATCAAATAATTGGTTCTTTCTCAACATTGTCCCATTTCACTTTCTTGCTTCTTTAGCACGTGCAATACTTTCCGTGCCAATAGAGTCTGATCGGTGTGCTCTAGAGGAAGCTCAGACCCTTTTGGCTTTTTCCTTGCTCAGTCCCTCTTTCCTGTTCTGGCCAGAGAAGGGCTGGAAGGAAGGAGCCAGGAAGGGGAGGGCCTCCTGCTGCACGTTTGCCCTGCTGCGGATGCCGAATCCCGGGGCAGGGAGCTTTCTTTCGGGAGCCCTGTCTGTTGCCTTGTTGCAGAAAGGGCAAAGCAAAGGAGGTGGAAGGGGAGAACGGCACTTCCCCCGTCACCACGAGGAGTAGCGAATGTGCAGTGCAGACGGGAGGGAGACAGAGTCCTTTCTGAGGCGCACTCTGGAGCAATAGTGCCAGGATCAATCCATGTTCCACGATCTTTTCCGCGAGTGGGCAGGTCTGTGTCCTTGAGACTTTGAGCCAAGCCTCTGGGCGCCGGCAGGAAGCGTGGCCCGCCGTGTGCGCGCCTTCCAAGCGTCCAGCCGGTGGCTACGGAAGGGGCCACCTGTGAACAATGGTCACCACTCCTTTGTGGCAGCTCTCTCTTCAAATAGAACATCCAGAGGACAGGGGCCTCCTCTTGTTTGCAGACATTGGCGAGCCCCAAGGCTCCCAGAGCAGCCTTTGTCACTGTGCCTGCGTAGCCGACCTAACAATGACAGGCATAGAAACCCTTCCGTGCCGTGCAGCTTCCGAGGATCAGCCATGTGCCTCTGTACTGTGTCCACTTTGCAATATTTACTGAACCTGTCTTTCGTTCTTCTTTCTTTCCTGTTTTCCATTTTGAAACTAATAACAGCAGGCCTTTTGCGTTTACAGTGGAACACAATCACCAAGAAATTAGTCAGGGCGAAAAGAAAAAAAAATAACAATTAACCAACAAACAAGAACCTCTCTTTATAGGGATTTCTAAATACATAAAATGACTGTTCCTTTCTTAGAATGTTTTAACGTAAGAATTATTTCAGTCTGTCTGGGCCACACTGGGGGTGAGGTGGGGATACAGAGATGGATGCCACTTACCTCAGATCTTTTAAAGTGGAAATCCAAAATTGCTTTTTCATTTGGACGTTCAGGATAATTTTCTGTCGGTCAATTTTTTGTCTTTTCCAACTCACCCAGTTTGTTTGGGGATGATTTTTATTTTATTTTTTTCATTGCTGTCGTCAATCCCATTTCTCACTCTGAATCATGACCGTTTGTGTTTTCTGTTAGGTGAGTGTGTTGGGTTTTATCCCCCACCGGGAAGTGACAGCACCCCTCCTTCTCCCCTCTAAGGAACTCTGCGGACCCTTTCACACCTCTAACTCAGGGACGGGGCTGGCGTGTGTGTGGTACACTGATGTGTCCAGAAGCAGCACTTTGACTGTTCTGGAGTAGGGATGTACAACTTCAAGGAATGTTTGGATTTCCTGCATCTTGTGGATTTCTCCTTAGATACTGCATAGATTGCAATATAATGCTGCATGTTCAAGATGAACAGTAGCTCCTAGTAATCATAAAATCCACTCTTTGCACATAGTTTGATCTTTACTGAAATACGTTGCCAAAATTTATTTTTGTTGTGTAGCTTTGGAATTTTTTTTTTTTTTTTTTTAAGGAAACAATTGATAATACCCTTTAACATCTGTGACTACTAAGGAAACCTATTTCATAGAGAGAGAAAGAATCTCGAATGCTTTTGAAGACACTAATGCCATGCTATTTCAGATCTGGATGAAGCAGCAGAGCTCTGTGGACTGAAGGCCAGGCTTTTTGAGCTGTGGTTGTCAAGGCCACTGTTTCATGAACTGCAAGCAGCTCAACAAACCATGGTCTGTCTTCTCCTACAACCCTTTGCACTTCCTATCTCCTAGTCACCCGAGATGATCCCAGGTGAAAAAAGGGCCAGCAGTCTCTGTGGCCCAGTCCAGCTTCTTTGGGGTGATGTGAAAGCAAAGGGAATTATGCTTTTTGGTTTTTAAAGTGAAGTGGAGGTCTTTGCTTCCACCTTGTTTTCAACCCAGAATTTCTGAAATAGAGAATTTTAAGAACACATCCAGTAATAACTATACAGAGAATATACTTTTTTATAAAGCACATGCATATGCCATTGTGTTGGGTTGGTTTCCTCTTTTTTTTCCATGGACAGTGTTGTGTTTCTGTTGATAGGGAAACTCCAAACTGTTTGCACACCTCTACTCCGGAGCTGAGATTTCTTTTACATAGATGACCTCGCTTCAAATATGTTACCTTACTGATAGGATCTTTTCTTGTAGCACTATACCT